TAGATAGATAGATAGATAGATAGATAGATAGATAGATAGATAGATAGATAGATAGATAGATGATAGATAGATAGATGAGGTAGGTAGGTAGGTAGGTAGAGAGAAGATAGAGGGAGGGATGGTAGATAGATAGAGATGGATGGATGATATAGAGATAGAAGATAGGTAGAGACAGATGGATAGAGATAGATAGATGATGGATGGATGGATGGATGGATGGATGGATGGATTAGGTAGGTAGGTAGGTAAGATAGGTAGGTAGGTAGGTAGAAGATAGATGGGTGGATGGTAGATAGAGATGGATGGATGGATGATAGCTAGAGATAGAAGATAGGTAGAGAGAGATGTATGTATGTATGTATGTATGAGAGGGGAAGGGAAAGGAAGGACTTGTAGCTCTCTGATCTGTGTTTAAAGGAAGATGGCATGTATTTATCATTCTGACAGCTCTTGTAAAAAAAACTGTAACAGAAAGGGAATGAAAATATGCATAACATCGGACCGTGCATCTTGCAAGACTATGTTTCTTACTATATCTGAAAAAGAAAAGAAAAAAGTTGCTGGCTTGAAATATGCCGAAGTGTGGGTATAACTAGTGGCTTCCTAAAGCAGATAAACAGCAGAGGGTTTGCTTCAAAAAAATTTATTGAAGTTTCCTAGAAACCATGATTGAACGAAGTTCACCATGACCAGAACACTATGGAGATAAACAATCAGGGAACTAGCTGTGTGCTTAGAATTCTCAGAAGTGAAATTAGCCTCTCACATTTTTGGCCCAGTTGCATTCTCTGAAATTGTGAGGGAGCAAACAAATATCGATGTCGTAATATGCTAGGTTAGCCGGTCTAGTAAAGGGTGATGATGGGTTTCCTTGCAATGGAGAAAGTAGAAAAAATTGCTTTCACTATGGCTATTAAAGCAATTCTGTGGAAAAAATATTGCAGGTGTTGTCAATGGCTCTTGGGCATCTTACCGCCCAGGCTGCCTCTTCCTTCTTTAGCCAAATACAAACTGGCTTAACTCTTTTTCTGAGATGTTTGGCTTGTGCTTCATCAACTTGTCCTTCAGGAGATACTGGGGTATTTCTGCCCTGTGTTTTAAATCTGCCGTATTCCATTTTCAAAGCACTTTGGCATAATCCATTGGGGTTTTCCCAACCATCGGAGAGACTGAAGTGGAGGGATGCAAGACAACTAATTTGCTCCACTCCAGTGGTGGCTTCCGGATCCTGTTCCAACCAGTACAGTTGGAACAGGCCTGGCAGCATCCACATGCATGTGCGTAGCACTCGTGCACACGCATGCAGCACGCGCATGCATCTTAGCGCCTCCACAACACTCCCAACTGCTCCGTGAAATATCACGCAGGCGCTGTACGTGCCATGCGCATGCGCAGAAGCATGGAAGCCTTAAAAGACAGGTGAGGAGCTCAGGCGGACGGGTGGGCCCTACGGAGCACCGTACTGGAATGGTATCCAGTGCTCCGGCAGGCTCCGGTACACCCCTACTGGGGCATACCGCCTGCAACCCACCATTGCTCCATTCATAACCTCTGGGGCAAGGGGGAGCTAATCAGCAGTGGGCTTCAAACATTGCAGCAATGGGTTTGCTGTCCCGTTGCTGGGTGGATGTGGCCATAGTGGGTGTGGCCTAGTCAGCCTCCTGCACCCAATTTGGGGGGGGGGAATGTTTCACCCTCCCCAGGCTTCGGAGGCATTCCTCGGGCCTCTGGGAGGGCAAAAACTGCTTCCTGTGGGATGCGGAGTCTGGACTTCCCGAACCTCTGGTAGGCCTGTTTTTCCCCCCTCCCCGAGTCTCCGTGCGGACCCTGCAATTAACTGGTATGATGAACGGGCTGTGTGGAGACTCCTGGGAGGGGTGAGGTGGGTGTGGCCAGCCAGGGGGGGGCATTTGGGGGTTTGCCGAACTGGGCAGAATCCTAGCTAGAGGATCGCCCAAACCCGTGTGAACCCCCACCCTCGGAGCTAATATTATTTGAGTAACAATTAGACATTGCCAATATGATCTCACCATGACTGGTGCTAAGGGGTTTTTCTTTCTTTCTCATTGTTTATTTTCTCTCTCTTTCTTTAAAAACTATCAAAAACTGGCTTCTATGCTGGATAGCATCTTCTGGACCTTCGTTGCCATTCAGTGGAAAAATCCCCATATATGTACATTGACCTTGCTATCTAAGTTGCTCGCTCTGGAAGCCAGGAGGAATTGCCCCATTAAGAATGCAAAACTGTCCTTGCTTTGTAAAAAAAACTGTAACACCTTCGATTGGATACAGGAAACTTTAATTGAATATATCAAGTTAAGCCAGAGCGGAGCACTGACCTAGGGATGAAGATGCTGGCCTCCCACTCGAAAGGTTGAGAGTTCAATCCTAGGCAGTGTTTCTCTATGAGGGTGCAAAGAGAAAATATCTGCTGTGAACTCTACGTAGGCATCAGGAAGGGCATCCAGCCAATAAAGGCTCAGCTCCATTCATTCACACACACCCGACTCCAGGGATTACTGGGCCATAAAAAAATGGGGGAAAAAATAAGCTAAAGCCAAACTTGATTGAGGTTTGGAAGTGTGTTCTAAACAGAATGTTATCTGGTGCATTTTATATTAAACAGGTCGTATGGTGAGATGTTTGAGATGCCCCATTGCCTATCACTCAGGAGATGGCTGTATTGCTGCAGGAAGCTTGTTTGTGTCATCCCACATCCTCATCTGTAGTAACCATTCCAAAAGAAGCAATCACTCCTCATCAGCTGTAAATGTAGGCTTTTGTTTCGTTTGTGCAAGAGGTGAGCTCTGTTTTTTGCCTTCCTTTTGTCGATCTCTTTGATGTTGAGTCTTTGTTTTTTTTTAAAAAAAATGAACTGTTATACCCACCCACCCCCAATTTGCACACCCTCACACATACTTCCGATGTGCATTTCCATAGACAGACACAGATGTCAGCCCAAGGAATTACTGTTGATCAAGAATTCCTGATGGGCTGTTTGGGAAGAACAGCTTCTAATGACCACTGCTGGGTTTTTTCTTAACCCTCCTGTTCTCTCTGCCCCTTTTAAAAATGAGACAAGGAGGGACTATCTTCTTTTGCTAGTTTGGGGGATGGAAGAGGGGAAATAGGCTGACAACAGTGACTCAAATTCTGAGAAAGTGAATTGACTTCCATAATCATTATTTTTTTTTAAAAAGAGCATGAATATCCCATGTAAATTGATGAGTCATCTTGAAGATGGATGGTTGTGTGGCTCCTAGATCAGGAAGGAACTCTTGTTCCCCATAGTTTCAATTAAAATGTTTTATATGAAGCAATTTTCTGTGTGACTCTAAAAATTATCAGTTAGAATTATGTCCTCTAATTTCGTTATCTGCCGCACCTAATCCTCCTAATTTTAAGGTATAAGAGTATTTTTAAGTTGGTAGCTTTAGTGAAGCAAAGCTTACCTCCATTACAGAAATTCACCTATGAATAGCGCAAGTATAAAAGATATTTAAGTTGAATTCATTCTCATGTAAGGACAATGTGATAGCAAACTTCACATGTATGTTTTGAGAAAACATGGCTGAAGAATGATGATAACTGCGTGATAAAACCTCTAGTTATTTTCAGTTAAAGGGAATGAATTTGGTATTAAAATAAAACAGAAATTACACTCCCTACATTTAATTCAAGACAAACCTATTTATCCTATTGAAATAAAATTGTAGGCAACTACAGGGTTTCAGGGGATTTGCACTTGTTACATTCAATCATCTTTAGTAAGAGCAACAGGAACATTAAAATTACTTTGGACCATCATGTGTGCAGCACAGGAAAGATAGTTCAAAGAAAAAATGTATGTGGAGGATAAAAATATATTGGGGCAGGGGGTTGTTACCAGATACATGAGTAGAAATATAGCAGTTGCAGTTTCAGGCAGAAACCAGTAGACTGAGTTCTTGTTGCATTAAATAAATGCCTTGTAGAAGAATGTCTAAAAGGTTAGAGAAAGAAAATTTTAGAGTGCTGAATCCGAATTATATGAAAGCATCATTTAGAAAGGATAGTCCGTTGATTTTTTTTTATGTCTCAAGTAGAAACATAGAATAGAAGAGAATAGAATGGAATGGAATGGAATGGAATGGAATAGAATAGAATTCTTTATTGACCAAGTGTGATTGGACACACAAGGAATTTGTCTCTGGTGCATATGATCTCAGTGGACATAAAAAAATATATTCGTCAAGAATCATAAGATACAATACTTAATGATAGTCATAAGTTACTAATAAGCAATCAAATCATACTAGGAAACAATAAAAACAATATGTTGTAAAGATACAAGCAACATGGATATAGCCATAAGTAGGAAGAGATAGGTACTAGTAAGGATGAGAATAATAATAGTAATACAGTCTTAGTAGATAATTTAACAGGGTTGTGGAAATTAGTTGTTTAGCAGTGTATATGTAGTCTTGATGACAGTGACTTGATGGCACATAATCAATCAATCAATTTATATCTCTTTCAAGGCTCTGACATAGGTTTTTAAACCAGTATTATTGTCATTCGAATCCTTCACTTACCTAGGTAGAAATCTAGGGATTATGTGCTTTTAGTGCTTCTTATTGTCCAGAGTTTAGATTGCTTCTAGATGCTTTTCCTTCCCACATTAATAATGATTTCAGTTTTATATTTGGAAATAGATTTTTTTTTAATTTTAGGGATTATAGAAAAATGGATCAGACCTACTAAGATTAAATTTAGTGAAGAAAATGAATACATAAATTAAACCTTTTAAGAAGTTACTACACTAGTTTTAAGTATTCAATAATGTTGGAGTTGCAGTTATTTTACCATTTGAAACCTTCGTTTCCGTTAGAGTCAGTGAAATTTGGATTCCCCAACATTGTGTATAGAAGTACAACTGAATTATTGCTGTAGCCTTGGCTTGGTAATTATTCCTGAAATCCAGAGAAAGCTACTGTCTTGTGAAAGTGCTTTAGATTATATTTTTAACTTTGATTTTTTCATGCTTAGGCCAGATGGTTCTGATGCTTTTGCTCACAGCGAATGAAAATCCTGAAATCTATTCAAGATTATGCACATCTAGAATAGATTTCTGCAAGCAATACCTTCATTAGCTAAAGGCCAAAACAGTCCTTGATTTATGACCATTGGTTTAGCAGTCATGGTGGCACAGTGGTTAGAATGCAATATTGAAGACTAATTCTGCTGACTGCCAGCAATTTGGCAGTTCAATCCTGACCGGTTCAAGGTTGACTCAGCCTTCCATCCTACCTAGGTGGGTAAAATGAGGAGCCAGATTGTTGGGGGCAAGAGGCTGACTCTGCAAAACCACTTGGAGAAGCGGCTGTAAAAGCACTATGAAGCGTTATATAAGTCTCAATTGCTATTGCTAGTGCTATGATCAAATTATACCAGTGCTGGAAAAAGTGACTAACAAAAGTCCTCAAACTTACAACCATCACAGCATTCTTATGATTACATGATCAAAAGTTAGACATTTGGCAACTGGCAATACCTCTGGGTCACGGTTCCACCACAAAACTGCGGAGGACAAAATCGCGCTCGACGAAAGCGCGCATTTGACGTCATCACAGCGCGACAAAAACATCGCGCTG